TTTCTCAATGATTGACTGCAGCCGCTCGTAGAACTGATCTTTAATGTCGTCGTTGCTATCATTGGTGGGTGCATAACATTGGATAATATTCATTAAGATCCCCTCCTTCTTTGTTTTGAATGATGCTTTGATGATTCTGGATCCGTGAGACTCCCATCCTACAAGTGCATTTCGTGCTACTTTGGACAGCATAAGAGCGACTCCCTGAGTGTGTGGAGCATTGTCCTCTTCGTGACCGGAGTATAGCAGCATCTCTCCCGTAGCTAGCCTTTTCTGTCCAGCTTGGGTCCAGTGGGTTTCGCTGATTCCCAGTACTGCTAAGTTGTATCTCCTCATTTCCATTGCTATTTGACTGGTCTTCCCGGTTTCCCACATTGTTCGAACGTTCCATGTACCTATAAAAATTTTTGCTCTGGTTGTTAGAAGGGGCATCGGCCTCGTGGCTTCCGAAGGAACTCGGCTTTCACCATGAAGCGTCATAATTCTTCTAACTGAAGACCTTCTAACTCCCAGGGCAGAGTTTAAATGGTTTGGATTATTTTTTCTGGTAAGCGTTTTTTTAGCGAGTTAGTTTTCTACGGGATGGGGACGCTAACCCCATGCCCAACCCTCCTCCTTTACCCGGGCTTGGGACCGGCAGTAACCCTATAAGAGCTACAGGCGGAGTTCGACATATGTAACTACGTTTTAAAAGAGTTTTAGAGTTACTGTGTAATTTTTTTAAGCAAGGGTGGGTGGTGGCTAACAATTGGATACAGAACATGCATTTCATCCCATTTGGGACTCATCAATTGGTATTACCTGCATCCCAGAGTTGGTGTTTACTCCCGAACTCGAACCCAGTACTATCTGCTTCAAACGCCATTGTGTTATTCACGTAACTATTGAGTCCATATAAACCAAAAGGGACTGATCAATTTCAGTTGTAAACGTCGACAGGAATATTCAAAAACCCAATTCATATAAATTAAAATTCACCCCATCACAGAATCCAGTGACCATTTGGACTCAGTAGCTAAGTGGACAGCGCGATATAGTTTCGAACAAAAGGTTCTGGGTTCAAATCCCGTAGTGACTATCAACTGTAGGATCCAAGTACGTTCAGTTTACAAGTCCCAAATAGGACAAAACGCGCGTGCTGGGTTTTATTGTTAGCCACTATCCATCTCTGCTTCAAATCTTTGTGACATAATGTTTATACCGAAGTGATCCGCACAAGATACACGTTTGTCAAAAGAGACTGATCCATAACAGTCTATAACATCAACGGAAATATTCAAACAACCAATACATATGGTATCATTATTTACTGTTAACTTAAATTATGTGAATGCTTTTAAGTTTATTGTCTTTATTTTCTAATATTCCAAATAGCATTTCCAAATGGTCTTGAAAAACATCCTATTTATACAGGAGATTGTTGACCGATTATACATTTACTCAAAGTTAATTAACAGTTATGCACGACTCCTTAACAGTTCACCGCTGTCTTTTTAAAATTGTTCCATTTGAAATTACCTAAGCACCAAATCATTAACAAAGAGATCTTGATTTTAAATCCCACATCATTTACCTTAAGTGTAACGGTCAATCAGGAAGTGAAAATAGTCTTGTTCTGACTTTATGTATCCACTTCACCTCCTCTAAGTTCATGAGCATATGCAGGTTTATTTTGTTGTATATTTTTATTAAGTCATCAATATTTAAGCACAAGTCTATTGTATATATATATATATATATATATATATATATATATATATATATATATATATATATATATATATATATATATATATATATATATATATATATAAATAAAGAGAGAGAGAGAAAGTCACAAGATTGTGTAGTATTTCGTTAATTCATTGTAATCACTAAAATAATTTGGGTGGGGTGATGAGCCATATGATAATCGAGTAACGGGATCGGCATTTTGTTCTACGTAATAAGTCTTTAGTATTGTATGGAGTAGGCTGCAAAATTATCTTCGAGCGATTGCACGTTCAATTTTAAACTACGAAAAACATGTTTTCAATTTGTCTAAATTTTACATTTTCAAACTTGTTTAAGGCATAACTAGATCTTTAAAAATAAATCTGTTAAATGTACAATACGGATTAAGTGATTTGTAAATGACTTTAATTTAATATGTCGCTCTTTTTATGTGCTTCCAATAACTTATTCAAAGTCTGTATTCTTATTATAAAATATCCTAAAGCAGCCTGGAAACTCATGTAATTATTATTCGTAATCAAATCTATAAACCCTAATTTTATTTGAAACTTTTTCTCCCACTGGTTAGGGTTGATTGTAGTCATAAAAATCGGTTAACATTTGTGATATTTTGTCTAAATGACATTTAAAAAACACCATGCTAATCGCGCTTGAGTTCATAATATAATTTATGCAAAGCGTAATTTGCCTTTCTTCTTTCAGTGTCTATACTATGTTAAATATTGTTTTATTTAAACTTATTTTCGTCCTACAATCTTTTTATAGAAATCATATAGCGATTGAAGGTAGTGTTTTTATCAAACAGTCATAGACGGTATCATTGAGGCGCTGATTTTCTTCTATAGGACTTGTTATATCTGTATGAAGAATAAAAGGATGATAACTGCTAGGAATTATTTATGGACTATTATTGCATATATTCTTATTCGATAACTATTAAGTAACCAGATTATATATATATATATATATATATATATATTCGTACTCCTTTTATTATTAGCTTTTATTTGATCTGTCGGCTACGGTTATGCGATTTGCCACTCTTAATTTGTCCCCAATTTATTAACTACAGTCTCCCATACTTACAGGCACTTTTGATTTGATCTTGTACAAATAATATTTTGCATTTTTTGATGTGGTGTCGTTTATTTCGCTTGTATATAAACTACGTATGTCTGAAATAAACGATTCATACAGCGGAGGCTGATATAACTCTAATGAAAGTATGTAAGAAGAGTATAATAAAACATGATATTTTGTTTCTTTTACCGACTAATATTGAATTGTAAAAATGACTGTATCACTAAAATCACTAGTTATTATACTATGGTGCTTGAGGCATCGTTTCACGTGTCCCGCCCCGAAACATCTCAAGGATACATAATTATGTTTACTATTCAAATTATTGCTTTGTTTCATTGGTTATTAAGTAGTAATTGAAAAGTATATTATTACTTAATGTTTTGTATTTTGTATAAACTTATCTTTGCAAAAATTCATATAAAGTAACAGTCTTTTTACACTAGGAACAGTGTAGATTTGTAAAAGTTGTTTAGTGAGGTTTCTTATTGTCTACAATGTGATTTTATTGAAGACAATGTATGATAAAGAATTCCTACGGGATTTTTTTTACATTGTAGACAAAGAATTATTTAAAACTGAATAAGTTAGTTGATAACCTTGTAAATAATTAAATAAATGTCAATACTAACACAAAATTGAACGTATGATAGTTTATTTATATACTTGAAAAAAGATTCTTACAAATAGATATACATTTACTGGCAGTAAATTTATGTTTTCCCCATCGGTATGATTGGCATTATCAATCACATGCATAATCTTAATTACTTAACTGCATTCAAAGTCCACTAGTTGAAATCACGAGTCAATTGAAGCTAGACCACCATGGAAAACCTGGAAGCACTTGACGGCCGTTTCGTCCCAGTATGGGACTCCTCCGCAGTGTTCATCCGCGGTCCCGCACCCCGCGAGATTCGAACCCAGGACCTATCAGGCTTAACCATCAGACCACTGAACCGGCATCCAACGGTGTTAATGTCATCCAATGTTCATCCAATCCACGAAATTGCGCCACCGTCCACCATTGTCTTCGGTGAGCTGATATCTCACAACAGACCTGGTTGAACTCCTCTGGTAACGGCTTCTCACTAGAACTCCAGGAAATGCCTCTTGAAGTCAGCCACTAGTGAGTAGCTGAGAAGTCCCATACTTGGACGAAACGGCCATCCAGGTTTTCCATGGTGGTCTAGCTTCAATTGGCTCATGATTTCAACTATTGAAATGACTAAAATCTCCACAAAACCCCTTCTGTATTTAAATTGTTCGCATTTCTAAGTCCTACAAAATTCTATCAACTTTTTAAATAACTTGAGTGATTCTATTAGTTTAATTATGAGTTGATTTATAAAATTCTACTTATCGAAAAATAATTATTTCCTTTTGTTAACGTTTTTCAAAATTATTGTATTCCGATAAAATTATCTTATTATTAGGTAATGGACAGAATGTATCTAGATAAATGATTACATAATTTAAACTATAATTCTTAGTATACTAAGGTTTATTGGAACCTTAGCTATACATAAATTGGAACCCCATTTATGCGTTCAAAAACAATTTGTTCTTACCCTTAACCTACCCTGGTAATACTGATTTATTATCCAGAGTGGTTGTCACGTTGTTTTTGTGTACTTCATTTATTTATTTTTCTTTGTTATGGCTTACCTTTAACCTGTCTAGTTGACCTTTAATTTTCATATAAAAATGTCTTAACAAGTATATGTATGATCAGATTATTCGAAATGTATTGTGCAAATATATATCATGATTCTGATAAACTTCGTCTTCTCATTGTATTATCGAGATTTGTCAAAGGGACTAATTGTTTTAAAATTCTTAGGATAAATTTTTCACGATTTTGTTTCTTTTTCAATTAGCAAGTATTATGCTTGTTATGAAAACTAATTCAACTAGTGGTATCCAATGTTTATATTAAACAAATTTAATAAACATGATATAATCATAGTACTATTTCAGTACACTTATTAAAAACGGATTAAAAAAAATATAAATATATATTTGACTTTCTACTCTTTTATGTTAGATACTTATCTTGAATGTTCTTTCTCTCCTTCTTACTGTTTCTATTTACTGCATGACAAAAACAAACACACACAATGTATCAACTCTACAACCGCGTGTACTATTATGTAATTTATTGATTATCATATATTCATTACAAGACATTTATTCATGATTATCTCCATCTATTTTTTCCTCCTGAAATCGTTATTTTGTCTATATTGCTAATTCAAGTAACTTTTTTATTCACCATCTTCACAATTGTCACATGTTCTTTATTCGTGTCATCCTTAATCACATTGCATTCATTTTCTAAATACAATAACATAATTTATGATTCATAAATATGCATAATTTTGTGGCCTAATAACATTTCAATTACTTTAATGATAAAATATCAATTCATTGTTTATATAAATGTTACTTTCTCACTGTAATCGAAATTCGTTTTAGATTACTTTTTTTCACATAGTATTACATGTGTGTGTGTGCGTTTTTCTCCAGAATAATTGTCTGAAATATATCCATAAAATTTATTATATGCTAATTAATTTCACTATATCATGAGTTAATTTATTCTTGAAGAAAAGCCATTCATTACAGATTCTGAAAATCATTGATGAAGTAGTTTCTATTCTAAAAGTAGATAACTTTTGGATTCCTTATGATATTACGTAATGTAGTTATCGAATAGTGATATATATTGTATAGTCTTCGTCTCTAATAGTCCTCAGTTTCTAATGCTGTTGAGACCGATTATATGACTAAATTTTTCTTGTATTACCTTGATCCGTCGCAGGATCATGCGTACGCCTTTCTGAGGAATCCTATACTAGGACGAAATATCTGTCCAGTAGTGTTTCTCACTTTTCCCATGTACCCTAACTAAGTTCAATCTGTAACAAATAAAATAATCTTCACTAAACAAGAATATGTACGTGTTATCATTGTTATTAAATTCAAATCATTATCACTTAATAATTATTCTATTCCTTTTTTCATTGATTATCTGAAACTATAATTGCATTTTGAAATGTATAATTCTTATTTTTTTGTCTACTTTTTTCTCCATCATTTCGTATTATAGATTTATATGATCACTGAAGCAATTACAGATGCTGGTGTACTATTAGGTTTACCACGCCCAATCGCACAGAAACTAATTGTCAATACTATATTAGGCTCAGCTGTAATGATGCAAAAAACTGGCAAAAGTACAACTGAATTAAAAGTAAACTGTTGTTACATTTATTATATATATATATATGTATATATATATATATATATATAATATATATATATATATATATATATATATGTACAAGTTGAAACAGTGAACGTTCTTAGTCAATTAAATTACAATAGTAGCATATGTATTGACCTAGGATCATATAATAATGATTAGTGTATATCAAAACAATTTAATAAGGTACATTTTTCTTTAATGACTCAATTTATCAATACTAGTATCTTCAGAAAAAGATCTTTCTTTATACCATAAATGTGGTGAAAATTTGCTTTAACAATGCCTTGATCTTTATTTTTTCTTTAGAAATGAAAAACTATCACGTAATCACAACCGATTAAATACAATTTTGTTGTCATATATAACAACGTTTATACCAAACAATAATTGATCTACTAGAAATCATTTGACATGATTACAAAACAAAAATCGATAATAGTGAGGTAACGTAACATTTAGAATATAATGTAAACTAGTCAAAACAATATCAGTGAAACCGATAACTCATTCAGAATGGATACTTTCAATCATTATATGATTTGAACTGGATAGATCATTGGTCGACATTTTTTGGGGGGTGGTTTTAATTTGGTTTTCATAACTACTACACCTTGAATAAACCAAAGAAGTAGCGATTATATTTTTTAATTAACTGCATTTTATATACATTTCAATGAGTCCCATACTAGGATGAAACAGCCGTCCAGTGCTTCCAGGTTTTCCATGATGGGCTAGCTTCAATTGACCCATGATTTCAACAAGTGAAATTTCTAAAAATCTCCACAAAACCCATTCTAATAAGAATAAATCTAATAGTTATAATTAATAAGTTTATTCATTCAAATGGAAATTCAGTTTTCTACCAACCACTAGTTTTAAACTAGTGTTGTAAAATATTTTCATTGAAATGTATTATTTTATATTTTTTTGTGATTTGCATTTCATGTAGTGTATTGTTGAATCCAAAAAGATAAGAATCAAACTGTATGTTGTCATTTTATTGTTCAGCATCAAAAAAATGAGAAAAATATTCCAGCTAAACTACTCTATGTCCAAGGACTTAACGGCATTGTTTTTCCTTACGGGTAACCGGTATTTTCACCTTTCTCACTGAAGAAAGTTAGATTTAATTGTTCCCAATGAGGAATACGTTTATGCTTCCATGGATCTCCATTTAAAGCAGTAGCGTTCAAAAACGTTATGACATATTGCAAAAACTTAGCACTAGAGAAACTTCAATTATAATCGGCATCAAGGAGTTGCGTTTCCGATCTTTACAGTCACGTTCCATAATCGATAAAATTATCAATACAAATTCTATCCTTTTAGTTATTTCAAGAAGAAATAAACTTCTCAGATGTATGATATTAGAATGTGTCAGTCACTCACACATCTATAACACTACTGAAGTTTGACATAAATCTAGAAAGCGTTAGGAATTTCGGAAAAATTAAGAAGTTGAACAACTCAAGTATGTAGATTATCGTAAGCCTCAAAAAAATAATCCCAACTAATGATGTCAAAACAAAATCTGTCTTTTAGTGTGTCCTCTACTGACTGATGAAAAATAGTTTATAGTGTTTAATGATAATAGTTTCATTTTCAAAATTTTGCTAACTGTATTTTTAGTTGTGTCGGGATGATTATATTATGTAGTTTTTGTTTATTAATATATATATATATATATATATTATATATATATATATATATATATATATATATATATATTTTATATATATATATATATATATATATATATATATATATATATATGTTTATACAGAATGAAGTTTGCTCACCTGGCGGGACGACAATTCAAGGTGTTTATGCTTTAGAGAAAGGTAATCTACGAGCTACACTTATGGATGCAGTACAGAAAGTTTGTGCACGTGGAGAAGAATTAAGCAAGAAGTCCTAATGTTTTATGCACTATTTTTCATAGTTCTGTTACTCTATGAAGTGTGTGTAATATTTCTTATATATATTATTACAAACATCATATTCAATAACAATTTGTTTGTTGTATTTAAAAACGTGTATCTGGACAAATTTTCAGTTACGATTTATTCTGGTGTTCAATATCTTTATAAGGTAATTTAATTGAGAGCTTACTGTAACTAATAGAGGACTTCCTTACATTCTCGGCTCTGTACACTTTATTTTATAATACACTGTATATTTATTTGATAATCCTAAAGATGGGCTACTTCAATCATTAATGTTATAACTCCAGTTGCTTATTTTCAGTTTTTAATTATGTAACATTTTTACTGTGAATGTTTTCTTGCTGGTTAAATCAATTACTTGAACGTACAATTTGATACTAAAATTTAGAAAAAGGTGAATTCGTATTATCCTGTTTGAACTGTTTTTCAGTAATTTACTAACTATTCTCTGTTGTTGAGTTAAGTGGAGATTTCTGTGCACCCACTAACTTGGTTCCATTCATTTATTAGAAAAAAATGATAAGTTGAGATGATCATTGAATTCCAATATTTTTATCGATAAAAAGACCTGAACACAATATAAGTATCAGTAGTCTTAGTTGGATAGGATATTAATGATTAACTAGTTGGTTATAAGGTAGTTAATATTAAGATGAATAAAATTATTAATTCAAAAAGAGCACCACTGTTAATTGTGACCAGGTCAAATTATTAACTCAGCTGATTATATGCGTTATCGTGTCAGAATGACTATGCATAAACAATATTGTTATTCGCAAATCATAGCATATTAAAACGAACTGTTTGTTGTCTTATAAACTAAGACAACAAACAGTTCGTAGAAAGTAAAAACTATCAAGAGATTGTCAGGTTGATTGATCAAAGCTGAAAATTCGTTATGCCATAGTTTTGTGATAACAAATTATAGTCACTAGGTTATTTTGGTGTGTAGTTCTATGAAATAGAAATTCTAATTGAAATATTCAATTCTTGAAATAACAATAAATTAGGCTTCTTGTCTAAAACGTGTTTTTACCTCGGATTATAGTGTTTCTGACCATAGATGTGCTGATATATATGTATTGATTTACGTAATCAATCACATAATAACCAGATGTACATTAAGTTCGAAGTCAAAAGAATCGATCGAGTTGGTTACTTATAAAAAATCTGTTGGTTAAGCATTGTCGAACTTTAAAATGAATGTGCAGGAACTAATTAGTCTTTCAGACTCCACATAGGTCCAACCAGTTATTCAATGGATGCAGATATAGTTTGCTGCATGCATCGTCAAGTTTTAAGACTTATGTTGTAAAAGGCATTCCACATTGTCATATGACTCATATATATAAACAAAAAATATGGTGCCTGTAAGACATCGATTCACAAAACTAATAAATAACTTTGTCTAATATGTTCAGGAAATCAATCGGTAATTTTTTGTTTAACAAGAGAAAAATATCTTGATGTCAAACAGTGATTATTCAAATACAGTGAAAAATTTTCATCCGTTTGTTGCTTGGATTTAATTTTATTTACAGCTGATGTATGCTGTTTACAACATAATCGAATAAAAATTCACTTTTTTAGGAAGAAGAAATGATTATGAATAAATTACAGCTGTTAACATCATACATGATGGGGAACACGCTGATAACTTTCAAAGGCACAATTGTTTGCAAATTTCAGAAAATTGAAATTATTTTTAGACGGTTTCATACAAACAAAAAGGTACTACGAAACTGGAATTATAATGACTACATTTGTTCAAAGCACGTACAGTAAAAGTATGGAGAAACAGTTAGTACAATGAAATATGGTCAATATGCAGAGACTTTTCTACTATCATATAACCGATTGTGACTTTTACGTATGCCTGACAGAATAACTTACTGAACGTTATACAGATGACCGACACTAACTAATAACTGCTAATGTTTATTTTCTAATTCATTGATAGGTCAAAGTCATTTCAAGTTTCCTACAGTCATTCTCAATGTTAATAAGCAATACTCTGTAAAAAAGTCAAGCTGAGACTGTGCATAAAAACTGCGTAAAACAGTGAATCTATAATTGTTCTTTTTTGGGTTCGCTTACCTACATTTGTATTTGAACTTGTAACGCAGAAATCATAAACATTTCACTGATTCATTAAATATATCTACCATACGACTGTTAACGGTATCACTTCACCGTTCAGAAATAAGTTGACAGAAAAGATGTGAATAAAGTAAACATGACGAGTTATGGACCCAAAAACAGATTATTTAACCTTCACTATCTAATAACCCATCAGGTAATGAGCTATTTTTGTAAAACACAGTTTAATAATACAGATATATGTATATGTACAAAGTGTTATTTCGTTTTCTTGTCTTGCACTGTCACTCCTATTTATAAAAATCAAATAAAAATGGTACCATCATATAAGTTTATCAATAAATAATGTTTAAAGATGTCTCAGCATAATCCCCATATAATAAGAGTTGAACAACAAGCATATTTTCATAGGTAGTGAGTTGAACAATAGGATAGGATAGAAATACACAATCAGATGTTAGAAACACGCTATATTTATATAAATAAGCTTATAAGTGGTCATATAAACTCGAAATTATACTGTTTGCATTCAAAGGTTTTAAAGTAAATAAAAGAAAACAAAACTGGAAGACAATAAAAGTATCACTGATGAATGATTTCTCTAAAACAAGCACATACATTATGGAGTTCAATAAATGAGTAAATATATGTGTACAAGTTTGTTAAGAACCAGACGTTTTGTGAAATGCAAAAATGGACACAATCAAAAAGTTATATAAAAAAATGGTGGAATGTGTTAACAAATATTTGTTGATACAGAACAATCAGAGAATAATATAATGGTAAGATAGGTAGTAAAAAATATGACATTTCACAATTATTTATACTGACACAAAAAGAGATAAAGAACGAGATCGATAATTGTTTATCCAATTTCATGGGATAGGTGATAAAGTTGGCACTGTACGAGTATCTGTGGATGATCGACTTCTTAAAAAATTCCATTTCTTATAAGATGGTATATTAGGTGGTGATACCGTAGTGACTGGTGGAATAAAATTATTATTGGTAATGATTTGACTATGACGATGGGATGGTGAATGGATTGCATTGTCTGCTAATTCAGTAGGTCTACTAGCTAACCATCGTCCGCTTGATGGAAGTAAGTAAGTACAATGTTTTATAAGTAATTCTATTAAGGTATGTTCAAAAAGTGTTCCAGCTAAACAACTTATAGGATCAGTATAAGATGAACTCAGTAGAGTAGGTGATAGGACAATAGCTAAATTAGCTGCAGTCATCATATTCACATCTTGCTTTTCAGCTACTCTGTAAAAAATATTTTAAAAATGAATATTTTAACATCAAACTTTTAATTATGTGTCAATTGAAAAAAAACTATATTAATAATGAGAGTATAATATACACTACTTGAATAATTTTAATGCATAAGCAAACTTAATTACGTATTTTGGCAGCTTTTACATCTATTTTGTTAACCAAGATTGTTGAGCTTTTGATAGAGTAGATTCAATCACAATCATTGATAATGAAGTGGTATAGACTATGGAAAAAGACTAATTTGAAAACCAAACTCTAAAATAGTACACAAACTAACATTTCTAATCGAATTTCAGTTTAGCCGAATGTGTAAATCTGACCTAGGTATTGCGGATTATCATTTTCTGGATTTTGTTAGTCGAAATAAACAAGCTGTCATATTAACACAGTGATTGTGTTCATTTTCTTCATAGATATTTGTCGATTGTTTTCCTGAAACAAGCTCTTTATAGATTGTCATTATTATGTCGTTGGTTGATTGATTATCCCTATCGATAACAGAATGAAATAACTATCTTGCTTCTAAAATTCCTTTGACCAGATTTACGATAATTCAACTCATGACTTTAAAAGTAGGTCAGTCAAATTATGTTCATATGAAATGAGCGAAGATATGCTGTGATATCTGAAAAAGAATTCATGCTTCCGCGCACAAGGACGGCGACAGCTTTGTGAGGTGTAGTATTTACAGCAGCTGTGATAGTCTGTTCTGCAAATTAAATTCAGCCTTCCCCTATTCTTAAAAAACAATATGTCTTTGTAGTTGTGACGTTTCATCTGTAGAGTAAGACAATCTATTTTTTAGTCTTTACAGTTGATTTCGTGCCTGACACGCTACACGGTTATTCATTCTTCAAAAAGCAAGCTAATATTTTTCTGTACTTTTCGGATTGTACATTAGATACAAATTCCCTCGCAGAGCTATGTAATCCAGCTTCCTTCATGTTAAGTTGTGCTTCATTTCAACAGACAGCTGTTCGTCAGTAACCTCATTCAGACATTTAATGACAGAACATACTGATGAGGACAACTAATAAATGAAAATACGAGTAGTTTGTACTGAAAGCCTTAGTTTTGATAAAACCCTCTCATTTTCCATAATACAATAAAAACAAGAAGGCTATCCATGCTTGTAGGATTTTGAGGTGATGACAATGTGAAAAAAGAATATGATATGATCAGTAAGTGATTAATACATCAAAAAAGCTCGAAAATATATTAACTGGTTGAAACCTGGTACCATTACAATACTAACAATTTAAACATTTAAAAAAGTTTATTTATTATTACCTGTGTATATGGTTTATAAAATAACGCAAACTTTCATAATGTGCACCGGGTAAGCGAGCAAATATTTTTCTTAACAAATCTAATTTCTCTTGTTCATTCAGTCGATCATCTCCTACAAATGAAGTGTATATACAAAATTATTATCAAAGCTGGTACATCTGTAAAACTGAATAAAAACAACAGCTCGATCTAGTTGGGTTCCGAATAGATAAAATAATTATCAATTGACCGAATTCAAACAAATTATCTACTACTGATTAGCACACTCCAGCAAGAAATAGAATTTTAAAAACTTATAAAAATAAATGACGAAAATGTATAAAATTTCTAAGCCTATATTTTATGTGTACAGGGTGGAAAACCCTGAACCCAGGAGACTGAATAGGCTACGAAACCATGACGCCCTGATATAAACACTAAATCATTGATAAGAGCGTTTTATGACAACCGATAAAGATTACCACTTTTGTCTAAATATTCAGTCATTTTGATGTTTGGTTTTAGAATGTAAAATTTTATTTCTACAATTTGTTTAATTAATAGAAAGTTTATATAAGACCAAAGATGACAGCAAAAAACAATCTAGGGGGAATCGATCAATTAAAAACTAATGTGAATTCTTAAAGCTCATGACTCTATTCTACCAGGAATCTGTTAAAAATCAGTTGAAAATGTTGTAAATCTTCATTGGTTGAGGTTGTTAGAACAAGTATTATGTATGCCTGATCACTGCTACCTCGGACGGCGACGCCTTTAAGTCTAAAGGTAGGCTGCACGAGACCTTGAGGCAGCCTAACCAAAACAGCATCGGTTCATGAAAACTGACTAGCAGTAGACAACCTGGTTAAGGTCTGTGTGATAACAGCGACCAGTGCTTGGAGATTTTAGGAGACCTTGTTTGAATTTGTTTACAGTTACAGTCACTGATTAAAACTCAACTAAATTATGCACCAGGAAATTGGAAATGAGCTAGTGATACTACTCGGTTGCTTAAACTGCAGTAGGTGGAGCGGTGTTCAATCCAGGAAATTAGTGACCAACGTTTGAATGCCTTAACCATTAGGCCATAGCTCGATGCAGTCATTTTGTAAAACTCAACAGAATACCTTAAAATCAACTGAAAGTTGCATGCACTGACATTCTTACGATAAGAAAACATAACAATTTTTGAAGCTGACAGTGTATTATTAAATCACTTAAAATATGTTATGATTTTTAAAAAACTCGATTAAAAAAATCGGCTTATTAGATTTGTGTGTTTTGGTTCATTCATAACCTTTTAATTGTGTGAGTGAAAACTTCCTGACGCATAAACAGAAAACTTTTAATAGAATATATTTTTTCCAAAAAAAAACTTAAGGGAAATAATGAACGAAGGGAAAGGTTAATAAACATGCTATTTCTCATAATATTAAAACAGTATAAAAAAGATATGGAGAGGCAGACACACACACACAACGAACAGAAACACATTCAAGTTAGACTGTTTTTTTTCCTTAAATTTCTCGCTTCATACAGCACGAAGACAAAATATTATTTTTAGACTAATTATTTTTCGAAAAACAAAGAAATCCGTTTTCATAGAAGAGGTACACACAAAGATAGATTGAAAGGAGCTAAACTTACTGATATGTGCAAAAAGTAACAGGAGAAAACACTAAAATAGTTTTACATTTGGTTTCATATATAGTTAAGTCAAAAGTAATAACAAAGTTGATTGATGAATGGGTCCTGTCTAGTATCCAAAGGAATAAAAAAAGTAATGTGGTACAAAAGTGAATTGTATAGAATAAAGACTACTATTCTCATATATACATACTTTTAAAGTATGCATTACCACCACTTCATTTAGAGAATTGAAGTAAAAGATGCAAAATACGAAAATTCTAAATACAAAAAGAATACATGTAGACACATACTTGGACAGAATCTAATTGCTCTTCATCTTTCTTAGATATGCAGGCGCATATATAAATGTTCTCGTCATTAATCAAACATAATAATATTTTCAAACCAAATTACTTATGGAAAATGTATAAAACCGAATTATCTGTTATTAATTTATAATTGTTTATATGGTCATTGAAAGTGATGGCGAATTCGACAAATCTAAGTGAACCAATGATAGGAGGATGCGCAGAATATGCGTCGACAAAGTACAATCGCCAGAAAAACAAAATTGTTAACTTGCCTCAATTATCAATATTTGTTATGTATTAACAGAATTTTTAGACAAACACTCAGTGTCAATAAAACAAATGTCTCGGTGTTAATTCGGTACAATATATCAGAAGTAAACTAAAACGTCGACGATGATCTAGTTAATTCAAAGTCACATACATACTGTATAAACATTACTACAGACACAAATTTGTAAACGTTAACTAGAAATAAATTAATTTTATCAGATTTGTTGAAGAAAAGAGATGATGGCTAACAACGGAGTCCAGGACGCAAGTTTTGTCCGATCTACAACTTGTCAGATAAACGTACCTGAATCCCACAGTTGATACTTACTACGCGTCTCGAATCCAATACCGTTTGTTTTGAACAGCGTCACGTTACCCATTTAGCAACTGAGATAAAACCAATTTATTGTTTAATGCAAAATTACTGAGTGATTTCGTAAAATATGAATACCATACATTGAGTACATCATTTGGACATCTTCCTTTAGCTGCCCTTTACGTGTCTCATGATTCTTTCAATTCTGTTTTTATTTCAATTGCTCTCTTTTTTCTTTCCTCTTCTCTTCAATTCAATCTTCTGCAGGCAGGCATTCCATTTCCGACTGCTGTTACTTACTACTTACATTTGTCAACATAAGTGGTATGCACCACGATACTACTGCTAGTCTAAATCTATTTATCTTTGAAAAAACTTGTGACCAAATAGCTATTCTAAATAAGACCTATATATGCCAATAAAGGCTGATCAAAATTTAGTCATGAATATCAACAACTTCATAATTCAAACCCTTTCTAATGATAATACGTAAAAGCATGGCTGAATTGTTTTTAACTATGCATTCCACCTTAACATTAATAGTTTATTATTGAATCAAATTTTTCATACACAAATATCATTGAATAAACAACTAAATAAAAATGATCTAAGATTAAAATGGGAAAATATTTTCCACAGATGATATCGATTTAATCGTCCATAAAACGCTAAACTTTTAGTAATTTTGCTTACTTTTTTTTAAAAAGAAAGAGCACATGATATAGCCATAAAATGTAGAGCAGAAAACAAACGAAAAAAATAGACTACAATTTCTTTATACAGGGAATCTCGGAAGTCACAAGATCATGTCTGAAAATATTAGTTGTCTATGAATATCTATGTTGCATTACAAAAAGATATAAATGATGCAAATATGAGGAAGTAAAATATTGAAAACCAAAGGTATGAGTATGTTCATTCAAACTCTAGAATAGATATGCAGAGGTTAAGCCAGTTTTATCAGTCATTAGCCAAAAAACAGAATAGTTTATACGAGTAAGAAAAAGTCAAATAACAAAGTAGGACGATCAACTAAAAGATTTTTTAAAACATCTTTTCCTGCACTCTACAGTAATAATCAGCAGGTCAAAGACCACTCTAAGAGAAGTAAATTCATTAAAAGCCACAAAAAACAAATGAATGATTAAGCTCACTGGTATAATCTAAATGGTCATTTAATTAGACGAGTGATTAGAAGAAATAACGGAAGATCTTGTGTGATGCAAAGATAGCTTGGTTTTACTAAATACTACAATATTAAAAATCAGTATCTAGTATTAGCTAGTAACACACTAACACAGATCTACTCCAGAAGTACCTATATTCTTAATGAATACAAGTACGTTTACTAACTGTGCGGGTTGAAACATTTATTTAAAAACATAAACATTAGTAAAAGGAGGCACCAAATACATATGCACCACACAAATCATTTGATTTGTGTGACGGCTGAATACTTCCCGGGTGCCCAGATCGAAGCAGGTGGTTTTCTTAGGGGACCACACCCGGAGCCTTCGACCTATAGGTCTGATCCACAAGGCAGTGGAGCAACGTCAGGATATGCAGTCCCATGGTGGCCGGTGACCAACAATAGATCAATACGCCATCTGTTTCCTCAGGATACTAGAGCCCATGTGCACCATTGGTTTGGAATCAGTGTTTTCCAACTCCCCTATGTGGACACTCCAAATCCACCAACCCGGTTAAAGCGCCGGAAATTCGCTTCTCCTCTTCTCAATTTCGTGAACAACAGTAATGCCGCAAAAAGGTAATGAGTAGGAGTTCCCTGGTAGTGGTTGTATACGCGTGGCCATGTGAGGGCTCTCTCGACTCTTGGTCGTACCAGAGCATCTGGGGGCGATTGAAACATGTTTTATCAGTATACCTTTTTGTGTACGGTACTTTGTTAGGATAAGAACAACAAAGAAGTAATAGGATAAAATCATTACTGACAAGCATTTAAGAGAGTAGGTTCAGTTTGTAATAGGTGTATATCAGTCATTAAACTCGTTTAGTATTGCAGTTTAGAACAATGTTTTATTCACTGATGAAAATGCTTCAGATAATATTGAAAATTTCAATAAATCACATCAACTTAGGTCTTGGGAATTTGATGTTACTTGATATTGTATTTACTTTTTCTTCTATTGATGATGTTGGATTCTCGCTAAGCTGGAAGGTTCGATTGAGAATATTGCATCGTTGTTCTGAACAACATTACGAACCCGTAACTTCTTTCCTTTCTAGCTAGTTAACATGTAAAGTTAAAACAAAGTGAACCGTATCATTTATCGAAAAACCAACAAGGCATCACTCTCAAACATTTATTTCTTGTCATTGCTTTGATGTTTAAATTGTATAGAACTAATTGGGAGCAAGAACAAATTGGGACCGAAAGTAAAAAGACAAACACGTATTGAAATTTTATCCATTCAATTCTTTAAATGAATTTAGCTGGGGAATAAAATCAATGATATATAAACCAAGTAAGTAACGAGATTAGTCATTGATATTTAAAATGAACTTCAGTGTCCATTAAGAAGACCTAGTAAATCAGACGTATATCATATAAATATACACTTCTGACAAAGTCATGATTAAATTGTTTCGGTTTTTAAACAAAAAATTCTATCTAACAGTTTTCTCTACTGAATACGATTGAAGTGACGAACAAACAAAAATCAAAGTAATATTTGTATATATTACTGATTCATTGCAAGATTAAAATATCATGTAACTTTGATTTTACTTACTAACAACATCCAGTAAATCTGGATATGCTTCATAGGTGATTAATGGAACAGGCAATTGACGCAGAAATGATTTAATCAAACTTGTCAAAACATTGATATCTCGAACACGTGCCTCAGATACATTTGCCAATTCCGGATCTAAGAGAAAGACATTTAAACAAGTAAATATGATATATATATATATATATAACTAATAAATAGCATCTTTGATCCTGAAACTAATGCGATTCAAATTTAGAAGACGAACATACAATTCCATAATAATCACGCTAATATTTGACACACACAAAATTAGTGAATTAAAATAAACTACTTAATTCATAAACATATACTTGCGCAGAAGTAAAATTTAAATTAACCACCAAGTTCGGAAATTTTTTCAGAGTTATATCAACTAAATTACGTACAGGTTAAACAATTACATGATAAATTTCAAGAATATGCTGAAACAGTAAAATAAAACCATACATACATTGTTTCATCTTCTCTCGCTAAAACAAAATTGCTTGTCTTGCACACTTTAGTTATATCAGTACGATATTTTGAACTGTACTTGATCAGTAGATAAACGATGACGAGATGTGAGGCGAACCACTACTGCATCATATGATTAGTGTTCGATAGTTTTCATTGAAAAACACTAGAATTGAAGTAACATATTCGCTCTACGAAAAATGAAATAGTCTTTACTTATCACGTTAAATTTACAAATGAAGTACAACTCGGGTTCTTGAATACAAAACTACTGACATGAAACCATTGCATTTATATTAACCGAGTTGCGTCAAATGCGTTATAATTAATGTCATGTTAGGTATTTAGGTAAAGTAGTACATACCTATTCTTTTAAATAATTCGTATCGATTTAAGATGTTGATAAATCACATTTTGGATTAGACTCAACAACCTTTCTGTGCTTTATGGAAAAATCAGAGTAAATTTATTTGCCAAACAATAAAAAGAAACGCATACACTACGAAAAAACGATTGTCTAGTGTTTTCTGGTGCTTAATAGTTGTCTAACTTCGTTTAGTGTGAGATGTGAACCAAATAATTCACAAAATTCACACAGCCTTATGTCAATAATAATCAGTTGTAATTAAAGTGGGTCTATGAAAAATGTGTATCGGCTTGAAGCGTTATGAATACCATGAAGTAGTTGTTATCAGATGAGGTAAAAAAAAACCCTCAGGGAATCGAAATAGTAACAATTGACATAAAACGTGACCACTACAAAACCTTAGGATCTCGCCGAGGACTTAATCGGCGGTCCGCTTGGATTACCCGCTCATACCATCTAGATATTTCAACAAATTATCTGTCCCTTGTTTGTTTCAACACATCATTCTGCCTTTTAATCACATGAACTATTCAGGTGCGTTTACGACCTTTCGGTGTGAAAGTTACAAAAAATTACAATCAGAGACATCGTGTTGGCTGGTAATATGCGTTGGAAAGAATGAACATTATTCAGATGTCGACTCCTGAACTGCTAACATCTGACTGGCGGTCACTCAATATTTATCGTCAGGATCAATCAAGAAATAAGAAAAAGAAATAATTTGCACTGAGAATTGTATTTTGTACCGAAAATATAATATCGAATAAAACCATTAGTAATAATAATGTTATCATAAGAATTGTCGATACTTCTTTATTTGCATTTGTGCAAAAATACATCTCTGGATTGACAGTGCAAGAAAAATAAAATATGAAAGATGAATAATTCATAAAACGTTATTTTGTTCAAGTAAACTAACCTTTATCAAATTCAGTACGTAATTCTTCCACAAGATCATAATTTCCAGGAATACGATAAAGGCCTTCACAACGCAAACCATCTCGACGTTCTACTTCTTGAATGCATTTAATTAGCAGAGTTGGCACAGTCCTACAATAAAAATATCAGGGTTGAATGGATATCTACGAAAAACAAAGATCGATCTTCATTGCAGAATAGTTTTTTCTTTGTTGCAACTTCCACTAGTCATAAATATGATAATATATCAAAATATATCAAAAATATTGATAAAATTAAAGTTACTTAATTTATGGTTGGTATGTAATAATCATGCAAAATTAACTCAAGTAGAAAATAATAACACAGGATAAAATTTGAGCATAAAAAACTAAAATCGATGGATGAAAATTTAGGAATAATACTCAACTTGAGATCTAGAAGAATACATGGAATCAATATAAGGAAGTAAATACATCAAGATATCAAGATAAAGGTTTACGCTCATGAAGGATAGCAAAATGAAAGAGTTATGTTAGTACTACATGTAAGTTAACTACAGAATCTAAGAAGAATGATAGTCTCTTTTACTAAACAGTAGGCTTTGTTGACAAACATTACCACACAAATTCTAACAATTGAGTTATCTAAACATAATTGATGATTTCTATTATCTGTTTACTTTATAAAATTACAAATTGAAATAACTAAATAGTCGTAGGCACAGAAATACCATAGTCAAACTTTTTAATAAGTTGTGAAATAACGGTTAAAGCAAAAGCATGCTGACATGAGTGTGCATCTGTTTATATTATTCAGCAACAACATTTAAATCTGGATAAATGATCAATAAGCAATTATACATATAATGATGAAAGATAGAATGGAATTACGATGTATGGATACTTCATATAATACACATTTCTTAAGAAACCAAGAACGAGAGCACCTTTATGCAAAAAAGTGGAGTGGTTTGTGATAACTATGTATGAGAAATATTGATCAGTCAGTAATCATATTGTTATCAATTTAAATGTACGAATTACATAAGATGTATATTTCCAGGGTATGACCCACATCTATTTCTCTAAAATAGTTACATTTTCGACCTACCAAGTAAAAACTCATTGACTATATATATATATATATATATATATATATATATATATATATATATATATATATATATATATATATAATACTAGAGCCATCGTCAACAAAGGTTTTGCAAATAGATTTGTTTGAGATGGTGGAGAAAATTTGTAGCCCAAGTGGAGTCAGAGTTGCGAAACATTGGTACAGAGCACGAACGTATCAGGTTCTGAACACTTTATTCTGGTAGAAACGGTTTGGTATATCGTTGATGGAAAACTTCTTAGTCTGTTAGCACGCTTTCTGATTCGCTAAAATTACTCTTGAGTCTCATTTTTAATAAACCTTTTAGATCTTTCGTCAGGACTCTCTCAACCAACGACGTGCTAGAGTGCAATTGATCAGTTGGTTTCACAAGATGAGATGCCTATAACACACACAAGCAAATAATAAGGTGAGATATGTTCATGAAGAGCAGGTTTATGTGCTTCGTCTTGAGCCCCACTTTATGTGTCAGGACTTTAGACCATCCGAGAGCTCGAATCTAGAGATCAGTGATTAACAGTTGAATGTGCTAACGACTGGCAATCACTCAATAAATACTTCAGTCCCTAATATAAACACATGGAATACGATTATTGGAGTGATATAAATTACTCTTCAGTTTAATGACAAACAAAATCCATTTTTGAGTAGCACAAATATGCTGAAAACTTACTTGTTTTCAGCTCTTGCCAAATTAGTCAAGTCCACACCGAACACTCGCTTCATTTGTTTAATATCTGGTACACAGTCACACGGTACAAGATCAGCACATCGTTTATGAGCCTTATGAAAAATAGAGAGTAGATCAACTGTGAATATATACAAATATATGAAGCGAAAAACTAAATAAAATGAGTGGAAAATGAACTGTACGAGTATGAAGAAACAATGAACATAAACAGGTTTTAAAAATGCTAAAAGTCCTACTGATAAAATTAAAGATAGTGATTAAAGTAGATGAATTTGCTCTTTTAAAATTGTTTTATTGACTAGTCGTTCGCTGTTTTATTTCTGATTTACTCTAGATGTTTAATCTTCTTGATATGCATTTAATAGTGTCAACTTTACTTGGATTTTGTAATGAATTTGTAGACAGGTGACTACGGTTTCTTGAGTGCACGTCTACTGAAAACGACAGAACAGACTTCAGCAAACTTCGTCGGTAAACTTGAACAACTATCATATCATCGCAGACATTTATTTACACTGTACCTAAGACTTCTGCTCACCTACAAAGCATGCACTTTCCTTTCAGTAGTCTACTTTTTTTAATCATAATTAGCTGGAAGTCATCACACTTATTCCTCATCCTACGATGAAAGTTTTCATGCATTTTAGTACAGTAATATTCACCTACAAGTGAAATTAATTCTAGTCATGACTTTTGTCACATAAGGTATATACACAGTTTTTTTACTGGTCAATACTATTGATTCTAGCTTGTAAACAGGTGAAGAGAAACCGCGAAATAAATGAACTCATATGATTCCAATAGGCCAAATTTAACAATAGACAGAAATGTATAAAATACTAGATTTTTAGATTTTAATTCAACTGCTGAAACAACAGCAATCAGATGTCTTATTTGCAACTCTACTGATACTTCAGATAATATGGTTTCGTCTTATCAAATATGAACACTCTATTTACCTTGGAAGTTATCCAAGTTAGATTAAAAGGTAGCGTACCTGAAATCCACAATCTACACATTTCATGCCCTGAGCAACGAGCCCCCATATAAAATGAGTACAATAATCGCACCAATGAGGTCCACGATAAGTATGAATCCTAAAATTATGTGGTTTGACATTTGAAATAAAAGTACATGGATCAGGTAAACAAGCCATAGGCAAGTTATATCGTTCCTGAAGATTACGCATAGCATCATTTTGTGCATAGTCAGAATCTGTAAAGGATAAATCATTTAGCTGTTGTTTTGGAGAAGTTGACGTACTCCCATTAAGTTTGGAACTTTGAAATGAAACTCCGTTTGAAAAATAGTGGTCAGATAAATTACTACCAAATGAAATATGTCTAGGACCAAATGATTCGGAAGAAAATTCAGATTCCAACTCATATGACTGAGCACTCGGTAGAAGACCCATGTGGCTACTAGAACTACTATTTGTACAAGAACTTAAACTGCTTGATTCCCCAGAAAAACAAGTGGCAAGAGGTGCTTGAATTAAAACTGAATTAACCGAAGAACATTGGTCACTTGAAGAAATAGTTTTAACAACGGTCGCACAGCTAGTTGCTGTTACTGTACTACGACTGGAAGCCTGAAAAAGTTAGCAAATTATGATTTCATTATAAAATGAAAATATAACGACAGAGAAGTATTAAACAATGGGTATTCACGAAAGGTGAAAACAACTGTCCCTACAGTTATGTCGACACACATTTATCTACCAAAAACAGGTTTGTGTCAGTCAGTCAGCTATAACGTAGGACGAGGCATATATATGTATTGATTCAAGTTGCCACAACTCATTAGCACAACATGATCACAAATTCATAGAGGTAGTGACTTCCATGATAGTAATATATAAAAGAAAGACTGTGTATAAGGATATAGTACAAAAAGAAAGACTTAGTTGATAAAAAGAAAGATATAAGGCAGTTTTAATCTCACGGTTTAAGGAAAGACAAAAGTGTATACACCTACGCCATTGTGGTCGATTCTGAGCCATGTCACCCAGAGTCTCCAGCCATTGGTTACGATAGTCGTACGGACCCCAACCAAGTATTCTGCATCTACCGACATGGATCAAACTAGAAGTTGGTGACATCAAGGACTGATGCCACGTTTCGGTTTGGCCGCCCTTAACTCTCTTCTAACTGTCTCCAACACAGGTTTGTGTACTTGACTTTAAGCCACTTTTGTGCATAAGGATTAGGGGTACTTCTCTGATACTTAAATCGAAGACAGAATGAAGTTCGAAATATGTTACATAATTTATGCTTTTCTGTAAAATGATTGTAGATGGGTACAGTCTTTAATTTATATTTATCTGATAATAATACCAGAGATCAACAATGTAGGCAATACAAATAAGACAGGGAGTTGAAAGTAAGCAATGACCCTATATTCGAGACTTAAAAGAAATAATGAATGCATCAGTATTGTTGATTTTAAAACTTGTTATTTAGTCTTCAACCAACGATTATGGCCATTACAAGGACCATATGCACGAGGTTTTCACTTTCCTAAATGGCTCAAAAGAGGTCAGTTATTTCACACACTGACGCTATGACTTGGAAAAGTATACCACAGACTTGTTATGAAACCAATACTCATATCCGTCATTATAATACAGAATAATCATTGATTAAGATCAGTCAGTAGGAACTGTGTCTAACGAAACTAGCCTCAATAATACTTTACATTGTTTGATTGATGGATATCGCCCTTGATTCTCGAAAACCACTACTTCCCTTGTTGTAGTTGACTGAGTTCCCTTGTTATATCTTAATCCATTTAAATCGGCCAGACTTTAGATTTATTAAATGTTGGAGAAACTATATTAACCGCCTGAAGGCTACTGGTAGATGATGACTAACTTCAGTATTTCATCTACCGTTTCTGTTGACTAGTTCGGATGTATTGCGAATTTATAGTTATTTATAAGATTCATATTGAGGTGGGTCTTTAAGGGTAGTCTCAATACTGTCTACTGTAACCTATGGTCCGTAACTTTTTCTTTGTTCCATTTATTACATATGAATATAAAGGATTTTTGGGGTTGGACAATCCTTTATACATCCTATTTTATAATGTCAATTTTACCATTCTTAATACCACTATTATTCTAATTTGTTTACTGTTAATCTCGTTAATACCATCTCGCTTTTTAAATTTGATGTGACAACCCAAGTTGGTATACATTTGTGCTAGGTTCTACACTGATTAGATTCCTATCAGAACTTATCTTTTATTTCTCTTGAGTGCTAGTGAAAGCGTAAGCGATTTACACTTTATGGTTCCCTACATTGTGAAGGGTTATTTCTTCTGGAGACTGATAATATAACTAGAGGCACGACAGCAAACTACATATGAAAACAGTTTGAAGTTACTTAAATAAAAATATCCTAGGTGCTAAACAACTATTAGGCAAGGCTATAAATAGTGATGAAGACCATTGAGACACATGACTCAGCAGTCGGGTGTAGCTGGATCTAACTGATGACGTTTCCAGAAAGATCCGAAAGTAGATAGCGGATTGGAGCTGACTTCTTAAAAGGAAGATACTGTACTTTGAGCTAAAAGCGGCCCCTATGTTTACTATAAGACAGAAATACTTATAGTTTGGGATATTGTTCGGTTTGTTTTATACAATGTACATGAGTAGCACTCAACCAATTATCAAATGACCAATTAGCTTAAACTGATTGAAGGGCAAAGACGACAGTTGAAAGGCATAATGTCCATATTCAGAAATATGTATAGAAGTATTTAAAACATTGTCATACACACTAACTTGTGTTGTGTGAGATGAAGTAACTCCAGAGAAAGACTGTGTGCTGCTCACAATTTCATGCATATCTCCTTGTGGTCCCAACCTTAGATGAGAAAAACCTACTTCAAAAGTAGAGGTGGTAGTTATTGGGTCAGTTTGTTGTTGTATTGGGCTACAAACATTAGACTGTTGAACAGCCAGAGGGGGATAATTCCGGTAATTTTTGAACCCATTTTTATCATCAGGCCAGTCACGAATAAGTGGTTTCGTAAAAACGACGGACTGATATTTGGAACGGCTATCAAGATGACTTGCATCCATAGACTGACGACGACAAGATAACTGTTTGGAAGTGTTTGCATGGCGTTGAGAAGCTTGGAGGTGTTTTAACGGAGAAGGAAGAGGACGTTCGTTATTCATCACTTTGTTTTCAGAGGACTTTATGCTAAGGCATGCTTCTACTGCCTGAGAGTTGAAAGTGTGATAACGAACCTGAAACGAAAAAAGAGAAAGATAATAAAACTATAATTACTTCTATGAATTTATATAGCGAGATGAAGCTTACTTCAAAATGTCTCTAGAATAAATGTCAACATTATTGACTGAGAGTTTCAATTTATTTTAATTATCCATAATGAACTGGTCTTGATAGAGTCAGTCAGTCAGTCAGCTACAACGTAGGACCAGGCACATGTATGCATCGGCCCAGGTTGCCATACCTCATTAGCACAGCAAGATGAACACTGGATTCATAGGAGTGGTTAGGTCAAAGGTGGTAATATATAGGAGAAAGATTGCAATAAGGATATAGTATAGGAAGAAAGAATTAGTTCGTAGAAAGAAAGATGTGAAGTGATCTTAATCTCTTAGTTTAAGAGAAGACAGAGAGTGTATACACCGACGCCATTGTGATCGATTCTGAGCCATGTCACCAAGGGTCTCCAACCATTGGTTACGAAAGTCACGCGGACCCCAACCAAGTAGTCTGCATCTACCAACATGGCTCAGACTAGAAGTTAGTGACTTCAGGCACTGATGCCACGTTTTGGTTTGGCCGCCCCTAACTTTCTTCCAACCATCCCCTACACCGGTTAGCATTGCACGTCGCGGTAATCGGTTCACAAAATCCCTCTACGGATAAAAAAACACTAAAGGTAACGAAAACTACTTTTTGCTGAGATGAAGGTAAGAACGTGTAAACAGTCAGTCATACGCGACGTATAACCTGGTACATGTATACATTGTTTCAAGTTACCATACCATATTAGCACAGTGAAATGAAATTGTTAGAGCAAAGCCCATAGTAGAGTTAGTAACAGTATTATTGGTGGTGGAGACGATTAGGCATAGAAGAAATGAATCGAGAACAAAATATGGATTAGCAGATTAACAGTAATAATAATTTATAAGGAATTCAAAAACTTTGAATCTAACGAAAGACAGAGTAAATACACCTGCGCCAATGCGGACGATTTTAGACTATGTCACTCAGTCTCTAACCATTGGTTGCGATAATTGCGCGAACCCCGACCAGGCAGTCTGTACCTGCCTACATAGCTCGATTCAACAACCAGTGTTTTCATGGACTGGCCCCAAGTTTTGGTTTAGCCCCCCCCCTAGATTTCTTCTGAACTAATCTTACACCACCCATTATTACTCGTCGAGGTAGTCAACGAATGAGCATGGATAATACATGTTTTAACCATATCAGTTGAAGACCTATCATCTCATCAATCGATTTGCAACCCATATTTGGTAACTTGCGTCTAGCTCCAAATTGCGAACCCTATGGCCCCGATATACATGAGCAATGCTTCGAAGATATATGTGATCGAATATTAGTAACCTACGAATACATTTAAGGGCCACATTTCGCGGCCATAAAATAGGACAGTGGACTGCCTTAAATACCCTGGTACGGCTAAGAGTGAAGAGTCAGCTCTTCTCGAAATGGTCTCATATGGCCACGCGTATCTATCCGCTGCCAGGGTACCCCACTCACTACTTCTCGCGGCATTACTGTTGTTTACGAAACTGATAGGATGAAGAGCGAATGTCCGGCGGTTTAACCGGGTTGGTGGATATGGAGGGTCCACATTGGGGAGTTGGAAAATACTGATTCCAAACCAATGATGCACATGGGCTCCAGGATCCTAAGGAAACAGATGGCGTTTGATCTATTGTTGGTCACCGGCTACCATGGGACTGCATATCCTGACGTTGCCCACCTTTAGGTCTAAGACTCTGTGAGTGGTCCCCTAAGAAAACCACCTGCTTCGATCTGGACACCCGGGCAGTATCACAGCCCACACACAAATCAAGTGACTTATGTGACGCATATGAATTCGGTGCTCCTTTGTATCAATATTTATGTGTTCAAATAAATAAATAGAATAAAGCATACGTAGTATATATTTAAACTAACTCGACGAAAGATCGGGAAATAAGACGAGTGATGTACTACCTCTATTCAGGAATACAAACCTAACATCATATAATATAAGTGTAGGTTGGATATCTTTTAACGACACACGATCAACTACTAGCAACTCTTCACGAGTCTTTTACTATGCTTCACGAAATCATAAAATTGCGGCAGCCTAATATAAACTGAGAAATAGCAAGCTATCCGACTAAAAATAACTGGTACATGAAATCCCCATGGGTAGTCTTGAAATCAATGCTCTCTATTTTACACTAAGGTGATCATATTACCTAGATGTACGTATGATCGGCAAACGATATAAAGATGCGAGATAAAAAAATAGGAAAAATATATGCGGGATTTGTAATTACCTGCCCAAGGGCCGGGTTAAGAGAAAACATACCTTATAAAACGGGGTCTTTTGATAAATGTTGGCTTCTGCAATTCTCTTAAGAACATCTGCTCCGCGTGTTTCCACATAAAAATGAATAAGGCCATCAGCGACAAGGAGTTCTACAGTGTCAAATTTAGTTTCTCCAACAAAGTGCTGCTTGGTTATGGGATCAAAATACAACTTGAAGTTTTTTGCCACTTTATCGAACCAAATGACCAAGGTATAGGCGTTTTCGGCACGTTGACTGTCTCTAATAAGGTAAGAGCCATCATGTGCATTAGAAAGCAGCTCTTCGGTTTCCTGACGCGATATTGGGCCATGATATTCAACACCATACTGGGGTGGGCAATGATTTAAAACTCGATTGCAGGGTATTACATGTGGCGAAGGAGCTTCACGCTGCAAATTGTATACTAAACAATATTAGACTGTGGTTTGATAGCTTACACTTATTTTTCCAGATTCGAAGTTCAAGACCTCTATCTGACATCACATCTTATTTCACAGGTAGAACCATTAGTTATCAAAAAATTATCGCGGACCGAGACTAACATATGCACCGGAACATTCGACCGGCCGCTTAAATCGTTCAAAACCCTCGCGTCTCTTATTGACAACAGTCATGTGGAAATATCCATGACAAGCTTACTTGGTAGATAGTTTTTTGATTTTATTTATATTTATCCTGTTAGTTTTTCATAGCCTGTACACTTACCAATAAATGATTGTACGTGTTGTTTAAGTGTATGACCTTGAACACGCTTTCTTCCTTCGTGTTACACCCATAGCATGGCACAAGCTGTTACCTACTAACAAATACACTGCTATTCACATACCTCTTGTTCTTCATTGCTCGTGACTGTGTTAACTGAACTCTAAATCAACTACCGTCTACATTTATAGGCTAAAACCAAATTATACCGTATTCTACGTTTGATTATATTGTTGATGTCACAGGTATTCAGTGTTTCACTACGCTTCTACCAGTAACACGTTCTAATATATTTCGTTCCCACCAAGAGAAATCAAAAGACAGAGTCGAGGAGACCGGAAGAGTATATTTGGCGATGACCAATATATCGGAATTCTCTGATCTAATCTGGCTAGCGATTGCGGTTGATGTTGAGCACGGCGTTACCACACGTGATCTGGTGCGGATGCCTGACCGAGCGCCTTCAGCTAGATGAGTCCACTAAAACATATGGTCAGCATCCAATGTCGAAAACTCAGTGCTATTTATTTTATGGATTTATTTACCGCTACAGATCACTCCCCCCCTAGTGGGGCAGTGACGACCCTAAGACGTGGCCAGATAGAAGTTTGAACCCAACGAGTTTGTCGTTGGTAAACACTCTTCTGATAGCTTACTAAATTTAGCAGCGTCTGGTCGTCTTTCCTAACTATATGGGACGGAGGTACAACATAATAAAAAAAGAAAATGTACAATGAAAATTTCGGATCCTCATAAACGTCATCGTTCTTTTCCAGCCGTCCTGGAAAAGAAAAAAGAAAATGTAAGTGATGTCGAAAATACACTCGTATTTGCGTAAAAACACAATGTCGGCGGAAAAAAATGGAAAATAAACTAATGAGCACGTAATAGCGTTAAAAAAATTTTTTTTTTGTTTTGTTTTTTTTTAATAGAAATAAAAATATATAAGCATTTTAAAATTGTTTATTTTAAAAAAAATAATATAATATGTCGAAAAGTGCCTTACGTGCAATAGTCGTTTAAATGTTCTGGAAAACTCAAACTTCTTCCAGAACGCGTCGTTTTAGGTTTATTTTCGGACACAGTCGAAGTATCATCGCGTGGGTTGGTTGTCGGCCACTGTTTCAGCAGTGATGTCCTTGATAGGTACTGCTTCTGGCCATCGAGTGAAACGGTCTACGCAGGTTAAGAGATAAGAGTATCCATTTGAATCTGGTAAAGGTCCTACCAAATCCAGATGAACATGGTCGAAACGAGCATCGGGAGTTTTAAACGAGCCTAAGGGACATTTATTGTGTCTGATAACCTTAGATTTTTGGCAGCTTACACAGGAGCGTGCCCACTCCCTCACGTCTTTATTCATGCCAGGCCAGCAAAATCGTTCTGCTATAAGCTTGATGGTTGCACGAACACCTGGATGAGAAAGTTTGTGCAATGTGTTGAAGACATTGCGTCGATAATGTTTCGGCACGATTGGGCGATCCCTACCTGTAGATGTGTCACAAAGTAAGGTTTCCTTACCTGTTCCCATCTGTTTGATGCGTAGTTTAAGTGTTGTGGACGATAACTCGTGCTGAAGATCAGTGTCTTCTTTTTGAAGCTCGGCGAGTTTAAGAAGGTCGATTCCTTGGAAACTGTTCAAGGAAGTTATGCGAGATAAGGCGTCTGCAACTACATTGTTTGCTCCAGAGATGTGTTGAATATCTGAAGTAAACTGCGAAATGTAGTCCAGTTGTCGAGACTCACGGGGAGAGTACTTGTCAGAAGGAGAGCTTAACGAGAAAGTGAGCGGTTTATGGTCCGTGAAAAGAGTGAATTCACGGCCTTCGATATAGTGTTGGAAATGCCGTACAGCACAATACATAGCTAGGAGTTCCCTACCGAATGTGCTGTACCTCGATTCGGTGTCTAGCAACCTTCTAGAGAAAAATGCCAAGGGTTGCCAGGAGTTGTTAACCCATTGTTGTAAGACTCCTCCGATTGCCGAGTCGGATGCGTCTACTGCGATGCTAATGGGTGCTCGGGTGTCCTGATGTGCGAGCATTGTTGCTTTAGCGATCAGTTCCTTAACTGTGGAGAATGCTTTTCGTGCGGTGTCGTCCAAATTAATGGATTTCGCATTTCCACGAAGTTGGTCGGTCAGAGGTTTCATAAGTAATGCGCATTTGAGTATGAAACGTCTATAGAAACTTACCAGGCCGTTGAACGTGCGTAATTGCTTGACGGTGGTCGGTTCTGGGTAATCCAGAATGGCCGCCACTTTGGTTCTAAGGGGTCGGATACCTTGAGCATCGATAGTGTGTCCCAGAAAGTCTAACGAGTCGGTTCCAAATTGGCATTTCTGAACGTTTACAGTTATGCCATGTTTTTGTAATCGTTCGAAAACAAGGTCCAGATGCTTGAGATGTGTTTCTCTGTCCGGACTTGCGATTAGACAGTCGTCAACATACGCGTGTACGAAGTTGAGACCTCGAAAAACGTCGTCTATGAATCTTTGGAATGTTTGAGCAGCATTCCTTAGACCGAAAGGCATTCGCAAAAATTCATAGAGTCCGAAGGGAGTTATGATAGCGGTTTTCGGTATGTCGTCAGTAGCCATAGGGATTTGGTTATACGCTTTAACCAAGTCGATTTTCGAAAAGACAGTTGTACCTTTCAAGGTAGCTGTCAAATCGTGAATGTGAGGCAACGGGTAACGATCGGGAATGGTTTTCGCGTTCAATCGCCGATAGTCACCAGTTGGACGCCAATCGTTGCTGTCCTTTTTAGGGACCATGTGCAACGGAGATGCATATGGGCTACTTGACGGTCGTATGATTCCTAAGTCCATCATGTGATCGAATTCGTTTTTCGCTAACCTTAGCTTTTCAGGAGCTAGTCGTCGTGCTTTAGAAAATACAGGTGGTCCTGTAGTCGTGATGTGATGTGTAACATTGCTGGTTACACACGGTAGTTTCGGTTGAGTTTGTTGTATCCCAGGGTACTTATCGAGTAGTGGTTGATAGAGTGGGTCTATCATATGTTTAACTGTGACTGGGGATACTCTACAACCAGTAAAAGAAGTTACGCAAACGGACAAATTAGTGTTTCCGTCTACTAGCCTCCGTTTGCGAGTGTCGATGATCAGATTGTGGTGTTGTAGAAGGTCCATACCAATGATTGGCATAGAAACATCTGCAACGACGAAAATCCAGTGGATGGGTTTGCGTAAACCCACGTTAAGGTAAACGTACCTTTTGCCATACGTAGCGATCGGTTTTCCGTTTGCCGCCTGTAAGTTTAGGGTCGATTCGTGAAGTCGGTCGTTAGGATTTGCTGGGAGAACGCTAACTTCTGCGCCAGTGTCGACGAGGTAGCGAACTCTCGTTGTCACATCTGTGACGAATAACAGACGGCTTTGTTCGCCGGCTACGGTTGCCGTTAACGCGTGCCGGCTTGGAAGTTTCCCGAATTGTTTTCGAGTCAGTCGGTTTCGTGTTGGGAAAATTGCAGGGTTTTCTGCAATTTCTGGAAAACTTTCCATACTGGTTATGATACCAGCACCAGTCGGGGTTATCTGTCTCTCGTGGTCTAGAGACAGATCGCTTACGAGAAATGCTTCTACGTGGTGTGCGCGATCTCTTACGGTCGGTACGAAGACTAAGATAACGCGTGAGTGTGTGACATAAGTCGGTTATGTCATTCTGAGTCGTGTGAGGCTTTTCTTTGACTGAAAATACCTCGGTAGTAGAAGGTTTCGTAATTTCTAGAATGCGGTCGGCAGATGCAGCTAGCTCGTCTAAGGCGTTGTTCTGGAACGAGACCAGAACTGCTTGCACCTGTTGGGGAAGTTTTGACAAGAAGAGTTGTTTGAATAGACCTTCGTCGAAAGTTCTTGGGCCTATAACCTCTCTCATCCGTTGCAACATGTCTGTCGCAGAACCGTGTTGCAGGTCGATGTTATTGAAGAGTTGATCTAACCTTTGTCGATCGGTTAGGTCTCCTCGTTTAAGAATCGAGCGTTTTAAGATTTCGTAAGGATCGGAAACATCACTAGTAAACATACTAGGTGTTACGTACCTGTTGAATTCCCGCGGTAGTGCCTTGACTACTGCGAGGAATTGTGCACGTGTGTCGATCACGCCGTGCTCGGAGAAGTCGGCTTCTGCGTAGCAAAACCAGGCTTCGATGTTGTCGGGCCAGAAAGGCATCAGTTGAAACGAAGGTGGGGACAAGGTCTTAAGCTTGAGTACTTTAGGTGTCTGTTCAGTCATGATGAAATATGAAGTACGATAATGAACGAGGGGAAAATATATATATCCAAGAAAAAACACGAAAAAAATCACAATGTTTAAAAAAAAATAAAAAATAAGGCAATGATATATAAAAATCCCAAAAGGGAACAGACTCACAGTTGCAATAAGGTGTACCAGATCACGACGGTCTCACCAATGATGATGTCACAGGTATTCAGTGTTTGACAACGCTTCTACCAGTAACACCTTCTAATATATTTCGTTCCCACCAAGAGAAATCAAAAGACAGAGTCGAGGAGATCGGAAGAGTATATTTGGCGATGACCAATATATCGGAATTCTCTGATCTAATCTGGCTAGCGATTGCGGTTGATGTTGAGCACGGCGTTACCACACGTGATCTGGTGCGGATGCCTGACCGAGCGCCTTCAGCTAGATGAGTCCACTAAAACATATGGTCAGCATCCAATGTCGAAAACTTAGTGCTATTTATTTTAGGGATTTATTTACCGCTACAATATCACTGGAAGGACATCAATCTTACTGCAATCTTCAGTAATCTATAATTGTGGATTTCGGTACCAAACTCAACCGGAACACGCACAAACCTTCTGAATTAAGTAACGTCTCTAATTTTCGTTGTTTTTATAA